TATATACACGCATATCAAACAAAGCTGTACGTCTTCTGGGCTAAATTGTAAATAGGTCTTGCATGTTTCATATAAGGCATCGAAAAGACTGCTCTGACATTCCCCAAAAGCATGCATACTCATCTCTGTTTTAAAATGTAATATTCCTTTGCAAGCATGTACTTTGTACAGTCTTTTTTTATCAAATAACTTCACTCCCCTAAGTGTAACATTATATTTCAAACCAATAAAACATGTAGCTCACTTAACACATCTGTGAATTTTTATTATTGTCCTTTTTTTTTTTTTAAATAGACATTACCAAAAATCTATTCACTACAAAGAATATCCCTTTCAAAATGTTTGTGCTCAACCATTTTCTTTCTTAATTTGGAGAACATAAAAACATCTAAAGAACCTTTTTTCACTACTAAAAACCATTGCGTTTTGCAGTGTAGTGTCGTTTTTGGGTGCTTTGTTATCTATTTACAGTAGCAAATCCCAAGGCACAATTGTCTCACATACTCGCACTATATTAGTGCTAGTTTATCAAAAAATTTACGTAATGTACAATGGCATCATGTATTTATTAACAAATCAAGTGCAATTTAACTGAAAACTTGAAATCATAAATGTCTTTATTTAATCCTTTTTGTTTAGTCCAATCCAAATACCTCCTCAAATATTCGCCGTGGCTCCACAAATTTGTCGACTTCCTCCATCACACCCAGGTCTGGCACAAAATGACGAGGTCCAATCTCAGCTGTCTGTGTGGTTACTACTTCAACAAAGCCTGTTCCCACCTCTTCGGTCATGAATGGAGATGTTTGCTCTTCCTCGACAATGTCCAAATCAGACTCCATGATCCAGGGCTCACTGGTGATGACCTTACTGGACACTGTAAATGAATTCATAAAATAGGGCTTGACGTAAATCTGAGATTCTAAAGTCAGAGAACAGGTTCACTAAAATCTTATAAAACCTCCATGATGTGGCAAGACTTTCCTGACATCTTAACAAGCATTATTGTATTTACTGTCAATGCAGTGCTATGAAAAGATATATATTCCAACAAAAACATACTCTGCCCTAAATTGTCCTAAAATCACTTGACATTTCTTACCAGACAGGTCAGAAGACAGACATGTGGAGTCGCAGCAGAGGCACGCATCATTTGAACCGTATAACTCTTCCCATCTGAAGAAATTATCCAAATTAATACTAGTTCAGTTTTGAAAATAGCACTCACAGTACAACCAAAATTCAATATACCGTTTTGTTGACTGGTTGTAAGTGCAGGACTTTGCACTTGATGTTGGTTTAAAACTTCCGACGGCTATTTCACAATGCATGTAAAGATGCTGAGAATAAAATGAACAGGCAACCTCAATAAATTGACTCAACTGATAAGTCAATCTTTCATCAAAAATCACGAACCTGACCCTTTCATTGGAAAAAGCAAAATTTTTCTGAAATTGTATTACATCAGCATGCCATTTTAGCTCATTATATCACCTCTCCCAACATCCCATGAAACAGAAATGCATCCACGGAGAACCGCACAACATTTCTTTGTCCACTTTGGATGAATTTGGACCACGTACTGCTCTTGCTATCAGTCATGCACCTGAAATAAAAAGAGCATACATG